ACGAGGGCTGCCTGGACAGCAGACATGCGGATGACAGACAGGAGATGGATTCTGCAGGGGTCATGAGAGGGACAGTGACGGACATGGGGGGCAGACCCGACAGACAGACGGACAGATGGTGGGCAGGAAGTGGACGGGAAGCCCCGCTGGCTGACACGTGGCTGATGGAGCCGATGACCACTGCGAGCCTTGGGCCTGAAGTGATGGAGTGACTGATGGATGGACACACAGAGGATGGACGGATGGACAGCAAGACACCCAGACTGCAGGGTCCCACGGCACGGTCCTAGGACATGTGCCCTGCGTGGCCCTGACCGACCGTCCAGGTGGCCTGGGACCAGCTGGGGACGCAGGGCAGCCAGGGACCCTCCCGCCTCAGCCTCGGGCTGTGTCTGCACAGAAGCGCCGACAGGAGTCTCACCTGGGCGGCAGGCGCTGGCCACCCTCCGCAGGAGCCCACGCAGGGCAGTGCCCGGCCAGGCTCGGGGCAGCGGGGCCAGGACGTACAGCTGCGCTGCGGGGAGCCCGTCTCTGAGGATGTCGCCTGTGGGGACAGCACGGGGCGGATCACGGGCCACGCACGGGACCCCGGGAAATGCGGACCACGAGCTCACCGCACGCGCACCCCACCCCGTGCACGCGGAGAACACACGCAGACAGCGGGGACAGGGGTGCAAATGCAGAGGCGTCTGAGCCAACACGCGTGCACATGCGTGTACACAAGACAGAAACATGCCACACACATGATGCAGATGTGCAAGCAGATGGAAGACATGGGAACGCACACAGGCGTCGACACGCACAGCCACGTGTGCACATGTGCAGACAGAGCAGCACACGCTTACACACGCCACATGCGTGCAGATGTACAGTCCATGCACACACACGGGCACCCGTCACACACGCACGCACATACAGAGACACAGAAACATGGAGAGGGACTTGCTGTGTCACACAGGCATACACACGCACGTCATGCACACAGCAATGGGCTTGTACATGTAACACATCGGCGGCTTTACCAGGCGCGAAGCTGACTTGAGCTGCCTCCGGTCCGCGGGGCCGAAACCAGTGTGCCCGCTCGATGACGTCGGGGAGGTCGAGCACGGTCACCGTGAGCCCTGGGTACTCTCGGGCCAGCTCGTGTGCCAGGGCGCCTGTGCAGCCTGTGGGAGAGCAAAAGGCCGTGATGCGGGGATGCAGATGTGATGGCCGGCGCTGCCGCAGCCACTCTGGGCCAAAAGAGCAGTTGTGTGTGGAAGCTGAGGAAGGTGAGATGGCAGCACAGGAGGCCAAGTTCCCTGAGCCCAAGTTTCCCTGAAACGCTCAGGAAGGTTTCTTCTGCTCCGTCATAAGAGAGGGAGCCAGCGGCCCCTCGGAAGGCAGACTGCTCCTCCACCAGTCCCGCTGGCCCACTGGTGCTTAGGCAGCGAATGCCGCCCGGCTGCACAGAGCTGGGTGTCTGCTGACCGGCAGCGTGGGGTCCACGCACCTCCCAGGTGGCAGGCGGAGCCGAATCGCGACAGGTCCACGGCCGTGGCCACCGCGTGTGCGGTCAGCTGGGCGATCCCGTGGGCAGCGCGGAGCACCTGCTCCTCCTGAGACAGAGCGGGGGGTGAGGAGGGGTGGCACGGGGCACTGCCAGCCGCTGCCCAGGGCTGAGACCTGCTCGGGGCTCTCCCCGTCCATGCGTGGTTCTCTGGCCCTGCGTGTGTCTCCTGAGCTCCGTCCGCCTCTTCCCTCTGCACCGTGGATTGAGCCCGGGGCCTGCGCCCTGAGCTCCACCCGCAGCCCCTACTTTATTTTCTTATTTGGAGAAAGGGTGTCCCTGAGTTGCCCAAGCTGGCCTCAAAGTTGGGATCCTCCTGCCTCAGCCTCCCAAATCCTGGGCTTACAGGTGCTCATACACATGGAGTGGCCGTTCATCCCATTTGGTGGCAGCAAGGCCGACCCTCCCTGGCTTTCTGGGCGCCCTGGTCGACCCTCAGCGCCCCCCCAGCCGTGCGCGGTCCCACCGACCTGCGTCCCCTCCACCTTTCCCAAGCACACAGCAGCTGCAGACAATCCCCCTGTCCCTGCGTGGTCCGCTACCTGGACGGGGTCCCTGGGTTTTGTCCCCGCGGCTGCGTGCTGCTGGCTCTGGCCGTCCTCGGTGCTGCACCCCACACGTATGAAGCGGTCCCAGGCGTGTGCGCCCGTGTGCAGGATGTAGCTATTCAGGGAGACCTCGCCGTCGGACACGAGGTACACGCCCGCCAGCTCCGTGTTCCGGTAGCCTGGGGGGCAGGGGTGCCGCGTTATTTCTCGGCAGACACCGCCCCAGAGAATACGGCTGGGGGCAGGAGTGGGTGCCGGGCACACGTTCGGACCGGCATCACCTAGCTGACCAGGGCAAACTGCACCAACGCCAGCTCTGCGCGGAGCAGTGCCGCCCAGGCCCAGGCTACAGCGTCGGTGGCCCGAACTGGGACCCAAGGTGACCCATGTGTCCCCGAGCTGCTCCCAGAGGGGTCTCCTGCACGGCACCCATCCACCCACCGGTCCACCCATCCACCCACCCATCCATCCGTCCACCCATCCATGCATCCATCCACCCATCCATCCATCCATCCATCCACCCATCCATCCACCCATCCATCCACCCACCCATCCATCCACCCACCCATCCATCCACCCATCCATCCATCCATCCACCCATCCTTGTTTCAACTGTATTTGCTGA